AGGGGGGGGGGGGGGGGGGGGGGGGGTAGAAAGGAGGTAGGGGTCAAAACAGATTATAGTAATGAGGGGATGGAGAAATGGAAAAGTGCGTAGTTAAATTTGTTGAAATATTACGTCTTTTGTATTCCTTTCTCAAACAGAGGGAAAATAAAAAAAATTCAGAATTCCTACAGGATATATATACAAAAAAAGACGGTACTTGCAATCAATGTACAAAAGGTTGGGGGGAGGCTCTTTCCTTTGAACAATTAGAGATAATACAGGTGAGTTTAATTATTATTTTTTTTTTAGCTCTGTCAATATTTAAAAAAAAATTTTTCTTTTTTTTTTTTTTTTTTTTTTTTCTTAGATGAGTTGTTGGGTTTGAAAGATTAGTACTAGTGAGAAGGTGGAGTTACTTCATCTAATTTACGTAATTGAATTCAATACGTTTTCTTTAGAAACGAGTCAGAATGAGTTGGAATGGACCTTTGTTGTTACATCTTCATCATTTTCTTCCCCCTCTCATCTCTATTATATTAAATACGTAATATAATATATTCAATTGTTGAGTAGAAGAGGATTGAAAGAGAGCGTGTGTTGATGATTGGACTTTTGTCTTATAAACTTTGTGAGTATAAGGCAAAAATGTCAACTGTCAATTGTAATATGAACCATTACAAAACTGTATCATCAAGTAAAGGTTATAAAATTATAATTATTTTTTTTTTTTTATTAAAATGTCTTTTTTTTTACTTGCAGATTAATCTGATTAAATTAGATTAATGTGGCAAAAACAAAAAACTAAATACTATACTATATTTTACAAAATTAGCAGCAACAGTCATATTTTATTGACATTTGTTTGTTTTTTCTTGAAAGACTTTAATAGATGGAAAATATAATGCTGACAGCTATTTTCATTAGATGGTATGACTTTTATCTTTAGTTTCTAAATAGGTGTATGATACATCGTCATACACCATATTGCTTATGTTCCTACAAAGACTAACTTTATACTCGATCGATTAATAAATGGAAAAGGAAAAAATATTAATTATTTTTTTCTTCTTTTTTTTTTACATAAAGAACCAAAAAAAAGCATTATGTAATAATTGTTAGTATAATTATTAAGCCTCTAGGACAATCTTATGTAATATGCATAACGGTTACGAAAATTTCATAAACACTTTAAAGAAAGCAGGTGTATACTTTTTATTACATTCACTATTGGTTAATTCTTGAGGATTTAGTTATGAATGGCTTACGAAGTTTTTTTACATAATGAAACAGGTTTAGTAATTCAAAGCCCATTTCTTAGAATCGCACGGTGGGGAAAGAGAAGATCTGCTTACATTTACGATTTGCTTAGCCACGAGTGGGCAAGTTATACTTGATGATATATTCTGTGCATTTTGTAGGGTCCCAATTTTATGTGTCACACCTCTCGAATCGGCTCTTTTTCCTTCCATCGGCCCTGTTGTTTTTGCCCCGTTCACGGAAACGCATTTTTATTGGCTAGAAATAAAAACTGCCCAGAAAAATCGAATAATTCTAGTTTTTTCTTGGCTTGCTTTTTATTTTTTTAATGTCCTTTCATTATGTATAGAAACGGAACAATCCTTCCGTGTTTTTCCAACAAAAAAATAAAAAGCGACACTAGAGCCCACACTGACTATGCTGACCCTTGAATTCGAATCGGTATACTTTGTTTCCTTTGGACGCGACACCAGGGTGCAAAGCGAGATGGTGGAGCTTACAATGACTACGCCGACACTGACTAGCGACAGTTGCAAATATACAGATTGAGTTTGCGTTTCAGTGTAGTAAATATTTACGCTAGTTGGTCAGTTTCCATGACAGTTTTTACCTGCTGAATATTCTCCCTTGCCATTCTTGTGAAATTCACACTTGCTATATTCTTTGGTTCCATCTTGTCTTTTTTGAATTTTTTAACAGGGTGCAGGCAGGCACTATACTTGTTTTACAACTCTCTCTTTCTTTCTATAATTGTAGGTGCCTACCTTAAAACCTCTACTACTATAAATATTATTCTTCTTTATTAAAAAAAAAAAAATCTATTCAATACAATCTACTCAGATCTATTACTCTCATCAACTATTTTCGAGTCCAATTCAAGTTCAATAGACCCATCATCTCCAACCAATACATCATTGTCAGTTTCTTTTTCATTTTCCTCATTTACCTCATTTTCCTCATTTTTTTCTTCATTAGTTTCAGTCACTGTGTCGACAACATTGGCCACTTGTTCCTTTAACTTGGCCATTTTGGCATCTTGTTGACTGGTAATTTGACCATAAACGTCACCCAACTTTCCCGCATTTAATTTCATTCTTTGATAAATCTCTTCCTTGATCAACAGTAAATTCAACAAAGACATCACCTTCATTGTGTAAACCGATAATTCCTTTTCAGCTTTCCATATAGCCTCCTTCTTCAATTGTTCTTGTTTTGTTTTCAAGAGTAACCTGTTACTCTCTTCGCGCCTTTGTCTCTGCGTCTGAGTTTGTTCTTGACTGGTAATACTCAGTTCAATCTCCGCCTCAGATTCGGAAAAGTCTCCCGCAAACACATTCTCTTCGATCTCACTAATCTCTAATGATGTCTGGTCTACGTATTCTTGGTAATGAACTCCTTCTTCATCTTCTCTTTCCAAATCAACATTTAGCTGATGCGCTAAATTTACTTCTTTAATCAAAAATAATTCCAATATCTGGTCATACTGAAAACCGGGCTCGATACGAATTAACTGCTTATTTTTATGAGTACTAAAGAATTTCTTGAAATGTTTGAAGTTATTAGCGTCTTTGAATTTCAAATAGAATAATCTAAATGATATCATTAAATCAATATATTGATTCATCATCATTGTTTTAAATTCGATTAATTTCACTTCATTTCTACAACTTGTAATCCAAGACAAAAGTGAATCAATAATCTCAGGAAAGTATTCAAATTCTAAATCTATCTCAGTATAACCTTGTTCGGCCTCTGATAAATCTAGTAATCTCTCAAACTTCCACGAAGCAGTGACTAAAATTAATCCCAAGATACTCTCAGCAGCTTCTTTGAAATGGGATATTTGCAATATAAAGTTAAATTTCCATTGATCCAATATCAAGGTTAAATCCAACTTTTGTAAAAGCTTAACATTGACATTATAAATCAAATCAACGATATTTTCCAAGTTTGCAATATTAACATATTCGCCAATCTGTTTGATCTTTTCAATTACCAAGGATACGTCTCGTAGCTTCCTGATTACTAGTTTCTGCTCTGAAATATCCGCTTGCAGCTGTTTTCCTTTTCCTTTTCCTCTTCCTTCTTCTTCTTCTCCTTCTTCTTCTTCTCCTTCTTCTTCTTCTTTTTTCTTGTTGTTATCATCATCATCATCGTCATTACCCATAATATCCTCGTCATCTTTCAAAAATATGGTTGCTCCTTCAACCAAGTCATGTACCATTTGATGAATATCATTCTTGACTCCTGTAGTCAATCCACTCAGGTTAAACAACTTGGCAAACAATGGTTTGAACTCTTCAACTATGTTGAAATCCTTATAGTATTGCATTATAATCCTTGTCATTTCCTCATATTCTTCGATTTTGTCCAATTGTACATAAAAGTTGAAAATCAAATTTCGTTTAGTATCAATCAAATCTGTCCAAATGGCTAAAAATGCCTTTAGTCTATCATTTGACTTTGTACAAAATTTCAACAATGTTGGTAGTTTCTCAATAAAATTAGTTATCAAAGCTGAAATCTCTTCTTCACCTTCCCTTGAATGTTTCTTTACTGGGAACGATTTGGTAATACCATGAATGAACTTAATCAAAATAATCTCTTCTTTGTCGGTTAGTCGAAATAACTGTTTGGCTTTATCAAGATCTTCGCTATTCTCTAATTGCGACTCTTGAGAATCACCCATACTCTCATTGGTCTTTCTAACAATTTGAAGCAGGTCGATATCAAGCAACAAATAGTCCATCATAATTGTCAATTCTGCCGCGTACTTTGATATAAACAATGGCGATGCAAATATCTCTTCCAATGGGTTTTTGTCTCCACTTATCAGACAAACATTACTCAAAATAGATTTGATTGGCAAACACCTTACCAAATCAATTTCACCTAGTTTAAAATTATATTCATCAAACAATAATTGGTTCTTTTCCTTTGAAACCTTCAAGGTTTCTTCTCCAGCAATTTGTATAAATCTAACAAACTCATTTTGCAACTTTGGTTTTGTTGTTGTGCTAAAGGGGAACAATTTTATTATTTTCTCAATTGCTGTTGCTGGCTCTTCCAAGTAACCTAACCTCAACATTTCTGTGAGTATTGCACAACAATTGGTTTTGACTTGGGTATCACTATCCACATCACTCATGACTATAAGCTGTGCTTGAAACTTTGTAGAAAATTGTCTCAAACTTTTGGCAACCTCTTGATTAGTTGATCGATATAGTTTTAAAAGACATCTAGTGTTATCGATTCGTACTTGATTACTTGGATCGGATAATAACCATCCAAAATATCTAAGAAACAAACTTTGACAGAAATATGCGGGGTAGGCATTCATTGCTTCACACAAGTGCTTCAAAACTATTGCTCGTATTTGTGGGTCAATGTCCTTGTACCTCACAGATATCACTATTTCCGAAACATCATCAAAATATTCCATCATTGCCTTTAATTGTGTTTCATACTGCTCAATATTTGACGCAATAGTCTTGAACTTTGTCGATGACTTACTACGGAGTTTGCTCAATTGTAATTTGGACCGTTCTCGATTTGCCTCTATTGTTTCGGCAATTTTGCATAATTCAACCAATATCGTGAGCGAGACCTCTGTACTTGTATACCTCAATGGTCTAACTAAACTTTCAGACAATTTTGCCGTCCAAGTAACAATATAATTCATAAATGGAGATGATACAAACACCTCATCTGGATCTGCGCCCCTTTTTGCTTCTGAAGACGGCGAATATAATAAGCCCTTTTCATGGCCAATTTCAACAATATTTTTAAAAAATTCCAACAAGTTCTTTTTAAATATGGGTATCAACTTAAATGGGAACTTATGGGTTGTTTGGTTAGTGAATGCTAATGTGGCCTCTTCCACGGTGCTACTGGCACTTTCCAAATTGACAAGATCGTGAGGTTGGAACAAGTGAAAAGAGCCACAACTTCTCAATAGTAGATTGATCAAACCGGCAAATACCGTTGAATTGGCGAAATTGCTTTGCCTTGCTGACGTTTCTTCTTCTTCTTCTTCTTCTTCTTCTTCTTCTTCATACGATTCAACCCAATCTAGTGCTAAATCTGCCACATTTATTTCTGGACTTGAAAGTGCCTGATATAGATAATTTTCCTCCCAGTCATTTTCCAACTCTGGAGCTCGTGATTTACCATTTTTTCGTAGTGTAGTAGTGGATTTGAGCTTTTTCGATGAAGCTGGCTTAACAGTACTAGCATTTTTTTTCCGTTTCTTACTTACTCGAGATGGTCTATACTCTTCTTCTTCTTCTTCTACTGGCTCGTTTCGTACAGAGTTTTTCTTTTTCAGTTGCTCTTGTTCCTCAATATCGCTTGATTCGGCATATGATGTATGGTTTTTAGTAGTCGTCCGTGTCAATCTTTTGACCATCTTGTATTTTTTAGTGCTTTGTGATTGCTCCTGTGTTGGGGTACCTCTATAACTGTACCTGCAAAGCTGTACCTGCAAAGCTACACCTCTATGACGTGTACCTCTGTGACTGAACTTCTGTCGCTATATACCTCTCTATGACTGTACCTCTCTGTGGCCGTACCTCTGTCGTTGTATACCTCTCTGTGGCCGTACCTCTATAGCTGTACCTCTCTGTGGCCGTACCTCTATAACCGTGTAGCTCTCTGTGGCCGTACCTCAATAACCGTGTAGCTCTCTGTGGCCGTACCTCAATAACCGTGTAGCTCTCTGTGGCCGTACCTCAATAACCGTGTAGCTCTCTGTGGCCGTACCTCAATAACCGTGTAACTCTCTGTGGCCGTACCTCAATAACCGTGTAGCTCTCTGTGGCCGTACCTCTATAACCGTGTAGCTCTCTGTGGTCGTAGCTCTCTGTGACTGTGTACCTGTGGCCGTGGCTCTCTGTAACTGTGTACCTCTATGACCGTATAGCTCGCTGTGACTGTGTACCTCTCTGTGGCCGTAGCTCCCCTTGACTGTGTAGCTCTCTGTGGCCGTAGCTCTCCTTGACTGTGTAGCTCTCTGTAACTGTGTACCTCTATAACCGTTTAGCTCCCCTTGTCTGTGTACCTTTCTTTGACTGTGTACCTCTCTGTCGCTTAAACCTTTTGCTATCCCTCTCTATATTATATATCCCTATCGCTCTTCCCCCTTACCTTCTTACCTTCTTACCTTCTTACCTCCTTGACTATCTAACTCTGCAACTGCTAACCTCTCTCTCCAAATGTATATCAATAGGGTTTCAATTTGGTTGTAAAAAAAAAAAAAAAAAATTGAGGAAAACGCGTCTAAAATAAACGCTTGGTAGCATCAGCAACACCCTTCACCTCCTCCACCTCTTTCTGCTCCTCCACCTTTCTTTCTTTCTTTCTTTCTTTCTTCTCCAAAGGTCGTGCAAAAAGGGGTGTAGCTCGCGCTCGCGCGCGCGCGCGCATTGCAACATATGGTAGCACCGTTCCAAAGGTCGTGCATATCCGCACACGGAAAAAATAAAAAAAAATGCTCATTGAAAAAACCCAGCGATTATTGGTAATAACATATAGAGAGTAAAGATATATATATATATATATATATAGATATATATAACGGGGGATTGTGATTAGTAGGTGAGTTGATAGGTTATATTGGGATTGTTTTAGTCTTGTGGTGAGGGATTTTGTCATGTCGTTTGCTTCTAATAACGGTACGGAGGAAGACAAGAATGCAAATTCTGTTGGTGAGGTTGAATCTACCAAAGAAGAAAAAAAAGAAGATAGCATAAAGGTTGATGAAGATGGTGAAGATGAAAATGGTGAAGATGGTGAAGGTGAAGATGGTGAAGGTGAGCCCGAGCCTGATATTATAGACGGTGATCAATTGGAAAGAGAGTTCCAGGAAAGTGCCAGAAAGTATCTAGCAGAACAAACAGCTCATGTTATCATACCTTCCTTTGCCAAATGGTTTGATTTCAACACAGTCCATGCAATTGAAAAAAAATCGTTTCCCGATTTTTTCACCGATGAATCTGTATACAAGAATCCTCAAAGCTATAAATACATTCGAGATTTTTTAATCAATACGTTTAGATTGAATCCCAGAGAGTACTTGACAATTACCTCGGTAAGAAGAAACTTGTCGGGTGACGTGACAAATATAATAAGAGTACATCAATTTTTGGAGAAATGGGGGTTGATAAATTATCAAATTGATCCAAAAACTAAATCTTCAATTTTGGGGCCACAATTTACAGGCCATTTTCAAGTTACCTTGGACGCTCCTGAAGGACTTATCCCTTATGTACCAGAAAATGCAAGTATCGCCAAATCAAACCAGTCAAAAGTTTTCATTGGAGAGCTTGAACTAGGAGGAGGAGGAGGAGGAGGAGGAGAAGAAAAAGAGGAAGAAGAAAAAGAGGAAGATGTGAAACAAGAGAAAAAAAACGGAGTCGAGTTAGACTCAATCCAATTAATACCGGAAATCAGGAGAAACGTTTATGCTCCAGCAGAGAAAAAAATCGATTTCAAATTGAACAATCTCGTCCATTATGCATGTAGTATTTGTGGGAAGGATGCTACGGAAGTTCGATACCACAATTTGAAAATAAAGTCATATTCATACAACCCAAACTCATCGACAAATAATGTAAGTGTATTATGCTCCATTTGTTACGAACAAGGGTTATTCCCTCTGAATTTCACTTCAGGCGACTTTGTCAAATTGAAGAAACTGGAAAACTCGCAAGATTGGACTGAACAGGAGATTTTATTACTACTCGAGGGTATTGAAATGTTTGGTGCTTATGAACCAACAACAACAGCAGCAACAATTAACGCTTCCAACATCAATGTGAACACTAATAACCAATGGAACAAAATAAGTGAGCATGTTGCAACTAAAACAAGAGAACAGTGTTTGACAAAGTTTTTACAACTACCAATCGAAGACAAATTTTTATCTAAACTAATAAATGATGAACCTCAAACATCTTCACTCAAAGATAGATCAGCTCTTGTTGAAGAGATTGTTAAGGAATTAGTCAAAACTAATGAAGGGAAAGTAGTGGTTGAGGAAAATGCAAAAGAAAATCTATCAAATTCCATTATTGAGCAAACTAGCTTAATAAACCAAGTCATTGAATTAACCATTGAGAAAGTGAATTTGAAACTAGAAAGGATTGATCACTTGCAGTCAAACTTGATCACGTTACAAAATCAACTCACAAAGGAAAGAAAAGCAAATCTATTGGAAAGGTGGGCACAATATGAAAAAATCCAAAAATTAAAACAATCAAGACCAGATTTGAGTGATGTTTTGTCTGATTTATTAAAGCCTGTTGGAATCAATGAGATTGATAGAAATGAACAAGTATCGGATAAGGAAGATAACATTGAACTTGATAAACCAAATACGACCAGCCAATTAAGAAGAGGCAAAGAAGAGACTGATCAATTACCAGTTAGTTACAATGAACCCAAAAGTTATCAATTTTGGTCTGGCTGAGTGAAAATGAAAAAGAAAAAATGAAAAATGAAAAAATGTATTGTGTCTGTATCTAATGTAATAAATAACTACCTCCCTTCTGTATCTATCTCTCTGTCTATCCCTCTCTCTCTGTCTATCCCTCCCTCCCTCTCCCTTCCTCTCCCTCCCTCTCCCTCCCTCTCCCTCCCTCTCTCTCTTTCTCTCTTTCTCTCCCTCTCTCTCTTTCTCTTTCTTTCTTTCTTCTTCTTCCGCTCTCTCTTTGACGTTTTATACAGCTATGATTAATCTTTCTTTCTATCTGGTAAGATCATGTTCCAATTTGTTGCGACTTGCGTGAATTGGTATATCAGCTAAATGAGGCGGAGACCCATTTGATGATGGCTCAGTGGGAACGATTTTCAACGCTTTTGTTGATTTTGGGCTTTCTTCAGTCGATACTACTATACTCGGTACCAGCCTGACATTGTTCTCATTATTCACTTTTGGAAAATTTTCCTGATGGCTGTTGATTTTATGTGCATGCTCGTTTGGCATTACATTCAACGTTGTCGCACTCGCATTTGCATTTGCATAGACAAGAGATGAAGCTTTTTCTTTAGTATCAAGATTGCTGTTGTTGGGCTGACGAGACTTGTTTGGTGCATACATATCATTCAGATGGGAAAACAGTGTTGAACTAGTAGGGATCAGCAGTCCCAAAGCGGAAGTTGGAGGAGATACCAACGAGTCATTTGATCGAAGATCGTGATAAGTCGAGATTTGAGACCCCAAAATGGCCTTGATATTTTTTGACGGGTCAACCCTTACTGGACTCAGTCGATCATGCAATGAGAACCGTCTCCTTGGTATGGACTTGATTGTGTTTGCTGATGACAATGTCACGTCACCATTATTACCACTACCGCCATACCCAATCTGACATTTCTTGTAAAACTCGATAAATTGCTTTCTATAGGAACTTGCGCAATCTTGGCGAAATACCCTAATTAAACCATACTGGTCAGTTGTCACGATAATGTCACCTTCTCCTACAAGTTTTTCGTGATGGTGGTGATACTCTTTGGCGTTTCCACAATAGCATTTGCTAGGATCCATCTTACAGGCTTCCCCCCTCTTTTTCAAATCAAATATTAGGTCATCTGATAGTTGTAACAAATTCTTGGTTGCAGCTGGAGCAAATATAGCGACATTGCACTTGGAGTGGTGGGCATGAAAGCTCAGGTAGCTATTATTTTCATTTGCAATGAAATCGTGCTTCAGCTCATTTTCTGAATCAAACAATTTTGCAAGAAACTTGTGCGAGTTGAAAAGCTTGCTGTATTTGCGCAGCTTTTGGTGTAATTCAGTAATGTGTTGTTTACCGTCAACCACCAATTCTTTTAAAGATTGTCTAAGTTTGTTATTAATTATGGTGTTGTTGTTCTCCCAGATATAACACCAGTGGTCCTCCGAGCCTGATATTACGTACTTGTGGTCATCGCTGCTTGAGGCTGCAATCGAGGAAGAGTTGTTTACCAAACCTCTGAACCTGGTTATCAATTTCTTCTTGTGAGTACTAACCATCCTGATTTTAGAATCATTTGTTGTGATCAACACGGTCCATTTTTCTTGACTACTTTCCGGAATGTCAGAAAGGTCGCATGAGGGATTTGCAAATACCTCGATACCAGTGATTTTATTCCCATTCTTATCATGAAATGGATGCACAATTGATTTTTCCTTGATCTCTACTCTATTAACCACATGCAAACCTTTTGTTTCCAAGATAAACAATGAGCCATTAAAACCTCCAACAGCGCAATACAATCCATCGGGTGTGAAAGACAATGCTGTAATCAAAACTTCCTGCCCTAGATTTCTCCAATAAGATACCGATTTCTCCAATACAGACCAAAGTCTAACTTCGTTATCCAAAGAGCCACTTAGAAAAAACCTGTCATCCAACGGATGAAACTCAACAGCAGTGACAAAGTCCTCGTGTTGAAATGTTTGCAAACAAACAGGTCTATCCACATGCCATAATTTTGCCGTTTTGTCCATACTTCCTGAAATCAAAAAATTGTTCTTGCTCCATGCAAGAGACAAAATGCTATGCGTGTGGCCACGCAATTCAAGTGGAGTTCGATGGAATACAGGTGCAGATTGAAAAACATGATCTCTTTTGCTACTTCTTTCCGGAGTCCCATTTTCTCTTTCGTGTTGATTAAACTCCAACCGTCCCAACGGGGAGGCAATAACTTTCCATATTCGAATCACAGTGTCTCTACCTGCAGCAGCTAGGTATTTCCCATCATTGCTAAACTTCATAACAAATATTTCTCTGCTCATACCTAACCCAGGTTTCTGTTCGAAACCAGAGTTATCCTCTTCGTAAGAGTCGCTTTCCAACTCGTTTTCACTACTCTCATTCGATCTGATTCCGTCGCTATCATATACATTTAATTCCTGTGCCAAAAACAAGTCATTGATAATTTTTGGACTTTGCCTGTTTCTTTTTGAGATTTTAACGTATTTTGGAGTTAAAAACGATTCAAATGTCAACCCCACCCATGGCGGTTCTTGGTCGTCGTGCAAAGTGACGGCTTGCAAATCCAGGTCCAACAAGTAATTCTCAGCTCCTGGAAAAGACACTTTTTCGTCGACTTTGTGATCATCAAAAGTATCAGCACGCGGACGAGTATGTCTAGTCAGTGCAGATAACGAATGCAAAAGCGAAGTGCTCAGCGATATATCCGAGTCGTACTCCATCATCATTGAACCGTCTTCATCTTCTACATCGCCGTTGCACAACAATGAATAGTTGTCATCTACAACACCCCCATTACCGCCTCTTCTCTCCTCGGACAAGTCTCTAGAGCGACTAATTGAGCCACGAGAAGCCATTCTTTGCAATTTATCCGATTTAAATGTCGACAGCGTAATTGAACCGTTTGAAGTATTTGATTCCGATGCAAAGGAGTTGTTATGTGAGCTAAACTTCTTCTGCCTTAGCTTATTGAAAAATCCAGTTCTCTTGGCTGTTTTGGGGGACTCGGAGCTCATTTTTGTTTTTTGGCCTAGCTTGTAATATCCACCAAACGGGTATTATTATAAAAGTAGCAGATCTTTTCCTAGCGACAATTACCCCAAATTATGAAACGCAATGATAAATCCTTCAAGTGATTAAAAGTCAGCAACCAATACTATACCATACCTTTTCGTAAAAACCTCTACCGTCTACCGTCTACCGTCTACCGCTGGGACAATCAGCTCAATGAGTCTTTTTTTATACAAACTAAGTTTATCAACTTTCAATTTTTCCATCTCTATATTTGCTATCAAGTATAAAATTTGTTAGCGCTATTAAAAGAGAAAAGAAAAAAGAAAAAGAGAGAGAGAGGAGCATCGGTAGTTTATTTACCTCGGGATAAGCAATACTCTGAGGAGATGAATTTGGGCATATTTCCGAAACAGCAAAAACGGGGTAAGAGTTAAGGGGTAGATGAAGTTGAAAAGATTCAACTAATTTATCCCCCCCTCGCCATTACAATTCAGGTTGTTTATTTATCCCCCCCCCTCGCCATTACAATTCAGGTTGTTTATTTATCCCCCCCCCCTCGCCATTACAATTCAGGTTATTTATTTATTTCCCCATTACAATTCAACTTATTTATTTACTTATTAATTTATTTTCTTACAAGGGCTTTTTCTTTTTAGACCATTCTAAATGCAAAATCAAAGAATGGTAACCTTTTCCGTGCAATAAATCCAATGCCTTTTGAGCAATTTCTTCAGTAGCAAAACTGACATATGCAAAACCTCTACTTTCTCCTGTTTCTCTATTTCTAACCACCGTGACTCGTTGTAAAGGTCCGAATCTTGCAAATAATTCATTTCTCAACATATCCTCATCAACAAACGTATTCAATTGTGATACTTTCAATGTAGTAGAGTCGTCTCTCGCTTCTTTGCTAGGTATGACTCCATTTGCATCGGGTCTCAAGTGTCTTGGAACGTATTTGCCTGAACCTGAACCTGAATCGCCTAAACCGTTACCTTCCTGGCCTGGCTCTGGCGTGCCTCCGCCTGGTGTAAGACTAGAAGCTCCCAATGTATCCTTGAATGGACACTTGGCCGTATAATGCTCACCTCCACAAAGTCTACATTTAAGCGTTTGCACTGTAATTTTAGAAGCCCTCTCTTGTTCTTTTTCTTCTTCTTCCTTTTTCTCGGCTAACTTCCATGAAAGACCTAGTTTAAGTTCAACTTTTTCTCCCAATTGCGTGGTACTGGTATCTGGACCAGGTGGTTTATTCTTCTCCTTCCCGTATTTGCTCCAGTTCTTACGTTGCGCTATTAACGGATGTACTTTCTCTTGTACAACTACTTCTCTTATCTTCTGGGTTATTTTAACTTTTTTCCCATCTTGATTGGTTCGAAACGTTATCACCGTTTTGGTCCCATCGGGATTTTGTATCACATCCGGTGGTGCAGAAAACTCGTCACCAGCATCTGCCCAGGATCCTATACCTAATGTCGACATTTGTTCTACGCTACTGCCTTACCTTACCTAGATAGAGAGATATATATACCGCCTTACCCAGATATATATATATATATACGAGAAAATCCTCTTCCATATTTGAAAAGTTTTCCAAATTTTTTTCACATCATCGAAGACGGTTTTGGTTTGCACGACCTTTGAAACTTTTCAGTATGGATGAGGTAGTAACATGTTCATATGGTGACCATCCGTTACAGAAGGTAAAGGTATGGAATTATGATGCTGAGAACTTGAACACGTATATTTATATACATGGTGGTGCGTGGAGAGATGCTAGCAATACGTTTGACGAACTTGAGCCTGTAGCGGAATTGAACCGAGAATCAACCTTTTTTGGCATCAATTATCGGTTATCACCCGAGATCAAGCATCCTTTGCATTTGATAGATATCGGTAATGCCTTGTTTTATATTGCAACAAAATTCAAGGTGGGAAAGTTGCATTTGTTGGGGTATTCAGTTGGCGCAACAATGATACTCCAACTTTTCCGCTACTTTGACATTATTGAACAAGGATTTCTTGCTCTAAAAATAACGAACGACTTTGAAAAAGTTACTAAAGAAGTTGAGAGGTATATGGCTAGTACCCAAAAAAGGGAATTCAAAAGTATGGTTAAAACAGGAAAGTTGAGTTTCACCAGTGTCAAGTTCCTTGATGGTATTTATGATGCGCTGAGCTTAATTAAAGAGTACCCTTCTTACCTGCTGTTTATCTTGGATGCTTTTCCATCGATAAACTGTGCCAAATCGAGTATTTCCTTACCCAGTTTACTAACAAAAGAAAATCTATTCGAAAACAAGTTTATCAATGAAAATACAAAGCTCATCATTTGTCAATCCTTGGAGGATGATTTATTATCCATGAACCAAACTAAACACTTGATAGATTTCCTTGTCTCAAAACAATTGGGATTCTCTTTACACACTGGTAATTGGGGAAAACATGACGACATCTACGGTGATCAACGAAACAAAGTTTTTGTAGGTGATTCTGTAATATTGTGTTATACTAAGTCATGATCAAAGTCAAAGGTCAAATTCAAACTCTTCAATCGCTCTTCGAAAAAGTCAACGCATGATTGGGTTTTTTTTCCCATGAAAAAACCAAACCATTATCAAACGCCATTTTTCAAACATCGAGAATCGTAGAACAAGACTTTGAGCATGATTCAATACAACACTTTCCATGTGTGTAAAAAACAAAGGATTTTTCTTTTGAAAAAAAAAAAAAAAGTGGAATCACTTCCCATTATGAGACTTGATAAAAGATCCACACAGACACTCCTCAAAGACACTCTCAAAGACACACTCTCAGACACACACACACACTAAAGCCTTATCATAAATTTTTACTTTTCCACTAAAATGGACTCCACTATAATTTCACTACAAATACATTTTTTTTTTCAATTATTTCTTTCCTCTAAAATACTCCGACAATGATAAATTCCTAATAATCCAAAACAAAATCAATTTTTATTTTCCCTTCTTCTTCATTTTCCCTTTTCAATTTCCTTTCTTTAAACCAAAAGATGAGTAGGTGATTGCTTCGTTAAAAAGTCTAGAAACGAGTAGGGGATCTTTCACGGTTGTAAGAACCTGGTCTTTCTCCATAATTGTCACCTCTATCGCTTCCACCTCTTTCGCCTCTCTCATATCCGCCTCTATCACCATATCCGCCTCTTCCGCTCCTTTCATATCCTCCTCTACCACCTCTGAATCCACCTCTATCACCATATCCTCCACCTCTTCCACCTCTGAATCCACCTCTGTCACCGAATCCTCCACCTCTTCCACCTCTGAATCCATCTCTGTCACCGTATCCATATCCTCCTCCTCTGCCGCCGCCATATCCGTATCCTCCTCCTCTGCCGCCTCTAAAGCCACCTCTGTCGCCATATCCACCTCTTCCGCCTCTGAAACCACCATCGTATCCACCGCGTCCTCTAAAACCACCTCTTCTTGGTGGAGGAACATAAGGTGAAGTATCTTCTTCGGCACTAATGGTGATGTCATTGTATTCAGCCTTGTCCAACAATGGAATTGCCTTTTCCAATTCGTCTCCGCTTTGGAATTCCATATTACAAACAGTGTCACCAGAATCAAAGTCTCTAAACACTTTAACAAAACTTGGCTGGAAATTAGTCTTGTCTCTAACAAAATCTTTGACATCTTGCCATGCAGTGCCCTCGGGTAAACCCAAGATTTTCAATCTAAATTTACCCCGTGTGTCTTCTTTTCTCTCTTTGGCAAATTCAATCTGTAAAGGCTCTCCTTGGAAAGTGGTATCAGCAAATTTTTCCAACGCACGTGCTGCATCCTCTTCGGTTTCAAATGTAACAAATGCGTACCCCTCCATCAAACGAGAATCAATCACCGGCGCAGCAGCAGCAAAAAAGTCCTCCAAATCCTCCTTGGTGGTCTCGTATCTGATTGGTCTAACAAATAGTTGTTTAGTAGGTGGTCCACTCATCTCGTTTGTATATTCTTGCGTTTAAAGAGAAAAGAAAAGGGTGATGCCTAATGATGACAATAAGGGGGGCAAAGAAGGAAAAAAAAAAATGTTGATGAAAAATTTTGAAAAATTTTGAGAAAAAGACGTGCGCTATGACAAATTTGGAAAAGAAAGAGCGTGCATGTTGGCAAATGTTGAAAAAAAAAAGAACGTGCATGTTGGCAAATTTGGAAAAGAAAGAACGTGCATGTTGGCAAATTTGGAAAATAAAGAACGTACATGTTGGTTAGTTGTTTTCATTTTCACCGATGTACACGTATCTTTTTGTCTTCTATCTCACAAAGACAGATACGAACTCATATAAAGTCGCCCTCTTCTCTTCCCCCCCCCCTCCCCCCTATAAATACTTGAGACAATTTTGCCGTGTATGGACTCGCGTAATTGGAAATAAAGAATTATTTAATTATTCATACGAACAATATATATTACTATTACGATTACTATTAAGGGTCAAGTACAAAATTCAAAAGTTTTGTTGTTGTAGTGTGTAGTGAGTGGTATTAAAAAAAAATCAAGAGAATATCTTCTTTAAAAAGCCTCTGAAACCTTTCTTTTCAGTTTCCTTTGGCTTTGTTTTATTTGTTGTTGTTGTTGTTGTTGTTGGTTTTGTCGTTGATTTGGTGGCAGGTTGTGCTGCTGCTGCTGCTGCGGTTGTAGCTTCTTTAGCTCTGGTTGGCTCTGCAGCCGAGTTTTGCAAGTTTGCAATTTCCTCTTTTGGAACATTAACTTGTTCGATTGTGACAGGTCCTTCAACTTGAGACGCAAGACGAACTTCCTTAGTCAATTCGTCTTGTTCTGATTTAGTAGGCTTGATTTCTTCAAGAATAACAGGACCCCCTTCAGTAGCTTCAACTGCAGCGCTTATATCCTTTTTATCACCCTTGGCTATTATAATCTCTTCCTCTTGCACGAGCTCTGGCTCAGTAACCTTAGCAACAGGAAATGCGTTGACCTCCTTGCCTTCATTTGACTCAGCATTGTTCGAGGTGCCAGCAACTGGTTCAGCTAAAGGTTTTGAGGCAAGGGTTGTTGAATCTGGAGATGTTGCTGATGATCCTGCTTTGGGGTCTAATGTCTTGACGTGGTTGCCTTCTGTAGTAGCTGGTACAGCCACCACTGATTCTTCCACTGCAGGTTGAGGAATTTCTTTCGAGACTGCAACATCTGCTGCAGGTTGAGGAATCTCTTTGGAGACTGCAACATCTGCTGCAGGTTCAGACAAAGGAACTGCAACATTAGCTGCAGGTTCAGACAAAGGAACTTCAGCATCCTTAGACTCGATAGTTTGACCTAATTCGGCTCCTGCAACTCCAGCTCCAGCTCCAGCTCCACCAATAGCCGTTGCTTTCAAAACATTAGCCGCGGTAAAGTCACTTTTCTCTTCTTTTTCTTTATCGGTTGGAGTTTCCACTTCTTCACTTGGACGTTCAAATTGTTCACGAACGTCTTCGTTGATTTCAGTGTTTGCATCAGACTCCTTTTTCAACTCCTCTTCTGTGACTTTGGAACCCTCGGCTGCTGCTGCTACTACTGGCACGGGTTCAGGAGAATATTCTTCGCTTTCGTCTTCTTCATCAGCTGTATTTGATGTAGCTAATCCATTTGCTTCTGCCGCCTTTGCCTTCTTTTTAGCCTTGTACTTGGTTCTCTTTACTTTTTTCTTTTGTTTTTCCCTCTCCTCTGGACTCAATTCGGAATTTTCAGCCAAAACACCCGTGGTTGGAGTAGTGTTTGCGTCATCCAAACCTGATGTTGTTGCTGAAGAAGGTTGAGTTGTTGCTGCTGCTGTTGCTGCTGATGCTGGTGCTGATGCTGGTGCTGGTGCTGAGCTATTGGCTGTACCAATTTCTGTAACATTCTCATTCAATGCTTTGGCATCAGTAGTTTCAAAAGTTTCAAATGCTGATAATGCTTCTTTGTCCTGGGGAATTTGGATACCTGGCTCACCAGCAATTGTTGCATGATGGGGCTCTTCTTTTGGTAAAACTGTTGTTTTGAGATCTTGTGATTTTTCTCCTTTTTCTTCACCCTTCTGTGAACCATTATTTCCGGCTTTTGCCAGAGTGTATTGTAATCCCGACTCTGGTATCAATGAACCTGGAATAGTCAATAATTGAACTAAATCTTCTTCTTCCAAAACGTTATTTTCAATGTCTTGCGAATCCTTTGCTATTTTTTCCTCGGGATTGATTTGCCAGGCACCGTCAACAACATATTTATACAAGATAGTTTCCTTTTGTGGTGGTAATGGAACTTGCAATGCAAAAGAACCGTCTGCTTGTTTAACAAGTGGTAACGTTTTTGACCACTTGTCAAAAGTACCAGTTACAATTACCTCTTCTGGACCTTTGGGCCTAAAGCACTGTCAGTAACAAAAGTTGACCAAAATCCAACAAGTTTATTAACATACCATTTAAATGTATAATGAACAGACATAGAGGACTTGCAATATTATGAATTAATCAGTAGGAATTGGTGGGAAGGACGACGAACAAGGTAGTTAATCTCGGGTTATTTCGTTGCTGATACTGATTGTTTGGTTTCGATGACTATAATAACAATGAACCTTGAAAAATTATATTTTTATATTTTTGTTTTCTACTGTGAAATGGTGGGGTTTTTTATTGCTTGCTCGATGAAGAAGAGATAAAAATTTCTTAAATGACAAAACTAAATTCAAGTCACTTACTCGTGAGTTTTTGAAGGAATAGAAATTTAACCTTTATAGTGTTAATAAACAACGATATCGATGTAGTAATTACCAATGGTAGCACCGATGGTAGGTAGTAGCAATAGTAAGTAACGAGAAAGTTAAGTTTCACAATATAATTTATTAGCAAAAGAAAACAAAAATAATGGTAACAAGCATAGTAAAAAAAAAAAAAAAGATGGCGGGAAACAACTGTTGTTTTTGTTCAAGGTACTAAAGTTTAATATTTCCAGTTTTCCTCCAAGTTTAAAGTTTAATATTTCCAGTTTTCCTCCAAGTTTAAAGTTTAATATTTCCAGTTTTCCTCCAAGTTTAAAGTTTAATATTTCCAGTTTTCCTCCAAGTTTAAAGTTTAATATTTCCAGTTTTCCTCCAAGTTTAAAGTTTAATATTTCCAGTTTTCCTCAAAGTTTAATAGATGTATCAGTGGCAATCACTAAATGTCAATATACTTTCAAACCCGTGTGATGGGCAAGGGTTTGTTTGTAGCCGCGAAACCTTCTACCAAGTCCCCAGCCACATCCCAACCTTGCTAATCTTTTATTGCTATTTGTACTACAAAAATTGTTTTAAAAATAAAAAGCTATGCATACATACTTGATCATTGGTATTCCCAATTAAGTAATATTTTCGACAAATCGGGGGAAAGAGGGAGGGGGAGGGGGGAGAAGAAGTAAGAAAAAAAAAATAAAAAATAAAAAAAATAATTAGGCACAAATATTTAGCCGTGGTGAATATTATTTATTATGAAATTTTCAACTTTGTTACTTACAGTTCGGAATTACTATTATCATCCAAATAGTTTTCATCGTGATTTATATCACCGCCTAATCTCCCACTTAATTGACTAGCGTCGTATACTATGCTATTTGATTTATTCAAATCACCTGAATAACTCAACAATACAGGTAATAAGATTAGTGCGTGTAACGCTGATATAACTATTAAAGCAAACCACATTCTAAAGTAGTAAACTTCGAATATCTTGGATCTTGTAAATGCCAAAATTGATATTCCAATTATTTTGGTGATGGTGATTCCACCGATTATGGATCCACCAACCGTTGCTAATGCTTTGAAAGCTTTAGCATAACGTAGTTTTGAATTGAATTCTTCTATCGATGCTGATGACGAAGATAACGAGGAATTGATTCCAATGTAATTGATAAATGTATTATAAATGCACTCGTCATTTTCATTTTCAAATATCGATACCTTGGAAACCGTGTATGCTCTTGTTAAATGTATAGTGAACTCAACAGCTAATCCGCAACAAATTATTAAGTTGACTAGTGACACCGCATTCAAAGAAATGCCCCATAACGCTAATACACCACCTATATTTATCATTATTGAAATAATCGTTACAGTCATTATCGTACTTGATCTCATTGAGCCTAACAATATTGTACAAACCAACCAAATTATGCCAATGGCTGCACTGAGTAGCCAAAACGTCAAACTGACTAAATGCTGGTATTGTACAAAGAAAATGTAAAATGGTGACCAACTAAATATATTTAAGTTGGGTATGAATCTCTTGATTTCGTCAACAATTCTTTTGGAGTTCTTGTAAGCTACAATGAAATCGTCTTGTGACCGTAATGGTGTGTGGGCTGTTCTAAAATAGCTTGCTTTTATACTACTATTGCTTCGTGATATACTAGTTGAGTATGGAGCTTTACCGCCTAAGGGACATGGGTCGCTTGGCTCTTCAATCCATTGGTTGAAATAAAACATAAACTCTTTGTCTTGTGGGAACCCTTGCATACTTGGATCATAAGGCGGATCGTGATCAGCATAACAAGCTTGGCATTGACGTTCAGGTGCATTTGGCAGACAAAACTCAGGGGGATGCTCAAAAACTAAACTAGATTTTCTAAATCTGCAACACTGATCTAAATCAGGGTTCAACCAAGATAAGAAATCATCAAGCCAATTGCTTGATGGTTCAGCAATCGTTGATTTCTTCAGTCTCTTAAATTCCTGCTCCAAGATATTCGCAACTGAGTATTTATTACAAGCGGCAAATTTACCACATATTTCCTGTTGATGTTCTCTTTTTCTAACGTCAAGGTCTTTAACAACGAAAAATACCGGAGGCCCTGTATTGAAATAATTGTAAACTGAATTGAAATAGTCAATAAGGTAGGAACCTTTAGGTAATGCTATTCTTTGATCCAAACCAAATTGAATTTCTGGGAAAAAGCTCAATGAAATACCCAGCCAGAGTATGAAAAATGTCAAGATTTTTGGTCTAACGGTTCTTCCTAATATGTAAGGTGCATATTTGTTACTTATCCAGCTGGAAAAATTATACTCCAAGTGTTTTTCACCTTTGATGTGGTCATCGTCATCACCATTGCTATCACCATTGCGATTACCATTGCCGTTGCTATTGTCGTTGCTATTGCCGTTGCCATTGCCATCATCAACACCGTCATCAAGACGGATTGGCGAAAGAGTTATCCATGGTGCACAGTCAACACGGCCCAGTTCCATTCGTCGCTGATCCAAGGCTAGTAACCCAATGAAACATGTCATTTGCAAAAGAAAATTGATACCAACTGAACAAGCACTGTAGATTGCAAAGTTCTTCACCGCAGGCATGTCAACAGCACTAGCTAACAAAAGCATTGATATTTGTAATACGGCACTAATGAAACAAGAAGGGCCAATATTTCTCATGGAAAATGCTATTCTCAAGGTGAGATCTAAATCGGGTTCATGTTCTGTAATCTTGTGAAGCTCATGTACTATTAAAAAGATATTGTCCACGCCAATTGCCAAAATCAAAAAAGGTATGACTTCGGCTATGATTAAAGTTGATTTTAATCCCACCAAGGAAAACAACCCAACAGATGATGTAACTGCTAGCAAAATAATAACAATGCCACCCAATCCTAACATAAACCTAGTCTTGACCACCAGCATTATTGAGGCATTGGGTAATTTCCCACCAAGTGCTAATGATGCATAAATGAACATTGCAAGGTAGGAAATTACTATAATTCTAATGTCGGTGTTTGATGACTGGTTTAGTTCTTCCGTAAGTGAGACTTCTGTACTGTAGGCTATATTCAAGCCCAAGTCATTCTGCTGCAAACTCCTAGCCCAATTCTGGAATGAATGCTCATATGACACGGTTTTCGTTGTCAATCTTTCGTCAGTTGAGTTGCTGTTAATCAATAGTGTTACTGTGAAGGCAGTGGCTTTTGAAATATCCACATTATCAAATAAAAGTTGTGGCTTCAAAGGTTGCTGAAATGTTGGTAAACAGTTTACTGGGGAGTTTGCGCATTCTTGTAGTTTACTTCTCCAGTTGTATTCATTAATCTCGTTTATATCACCATGGAAATATTGAGTAAATGACTCAATAGCGCATGTTTCACCCAAGGGCTTGAAGCAAATGTCTGTTAAAGAAACATCTTTGTTAAGAGTTTGAAAAATTTGTTCCTGTTGAAACCACCATGATATCGTATCCCACTTGAATATAGGTTCATTTGATTTGGAACTAACAATAACTTGCTCAACTCTAAACCATTCGCCAAACTGAGACTCAAAATATTGCTGGTTGATATATGCTGGTTCTTTTGGACTAACCCAAAGATTTACTGGATTAGTCTCTAGTTTCAATTTAAACATTCCGAGAGATAAAAGAATGGCAATGGTTAAAGAAGTTCCAATGGTGAACCCTGGGAAAGTTGAGCAGAATTTTCCAAGTTTTTCAAATGAGTTTTGAATGTAAGAGTTCAACTTGTCCAGACACTGACGAATTGCTGGTTTTCTCACTGTAACAAATGCTAGTGGGTTAATCATTTCATCATCGTCATCAATGTTGCTATGATATGATCCATGTCTTTGCCCTGAATATTTTTTTGCATTTGCCAAATGCAAGTGATAACCTCCCAATAACAAGATCAAACAGATCAAGACAGTCAAAACTGCAAAGGAAAAACAAGGAATTATACCAACTGTACATTTCTTTTTCAAGTTTTTGGCATGAGGTAGTTTGGGGCAAGATTTTTCACAATCTGTACAAGCGCAATTATACTCCTTATCATTACAAGCATACATCTTGTCCTTCCTTAACCGCAAGCCCAGCTGTTTTTCTTGCTCTGTCAAGTTATACTTGAAATTGATTTGATAAGGAGAACCTCCCAAAAATGGCTTTTCATCGCCCAAAAATTTCAAAAATTGGGAAAAGTTCTTAGCTCCACCACCTATCAAATCCATTGCAAATCCATTGGTTGCCAGAAACTTGACATCTTTACAAGAATCATAAAATTGTTTGGCTGATTTCGGATCAACGTATTGATTGATTTCGGTGACGATTTCCTTTCCTGTATCCTTGGCCACTTGTGTTTTCAATATCTCAACAAAAGTAGACTCATTGGGAGAACAGCTAAATTGACAAAAAAAGTTATAAAAATTCCTATGGCAAGCTGGACATGATGATATTATAGCATCTACTCTTTTTAAATTTGATTCTAGCTCTTCAATTTGTTCGGGCGAGCAGCATACGAGATCAAAGTCTTGACCACAGATAGCCCTTAACTTATTCTTGGACTCTAAACTTGGCTCCCTTGCTTCAACAAAGTTTGCACAGGGCAATGGCTTTCCAAAAATAGACTTCTTTCCGCAATTATTAAATGTATTGCAATACCCGACAGAGTGATTTGCACCAAAGGTCAAATTCAGCAAGCAGCATACTACTAGATAAACAGTTAGCATCCAAAACATCCTTACCAGACTAACCAATTCAACCAACTAAGCCTCTACTTGGTTACTTCTTCACTTCTTTACTTCTACTTCTTCTCCTCCTTGTAACAAACAATCAATGTAATAGAAGCGTTTGAAAAATCTGGGGGGGAGAAAGGTTATTGCGTGTCGCAAAATATTCGAGACATTGACGACATTGACGACATTGGATTTTTCTTTTTTCCGGTGAAAAATTATACCGACTAGACTATAGAGGAAGCTTCTTGTATAATATATGGAAGAAGGTTATTAACCAGTCTTGTACATATTGGGGGGGAAGGCTTTTCATTTTTGGTGATGTTAGTTGGTATTTCAGGAACTTTGAGTTCAGGCAAGACTGAAGTTGCAAGATATCTCACTTTTCAAGGGTTTAAAGTTATTTCATATCGACCAAAGCATAATGAAATTATCGAGTCGTCTGATGAATGTGAGCTAGAATTAAGAGACAAATTTGGTACAAGATTAGAAGCTTTGACGGTTAAGGATGATTGCAAGATGGACAATTATGCGGTTTTCGAAGATTTAGACAGTTTGATAGAATACGTCACCATCAATTGGCAAGAAAATCATGTTATTACTCATATAGATGATATCACCATGCTTAGAGCTTTACAAAAGAGACCCTTTTTTTTGCATATTTCGATAGATGCTCCTATTCATTTACGATACAAGCGATCACAGCAATATTACAAATCTTTGGAACACTTTACTAAACGAAACGATGAACTACTCTTCAATGTAGAGTCGCCGTTATTGGAGATCAATAATCAGGCTCAAGTGAAGATTATCAACACGTCAACGTCAATTAAGGACCTCTTTATTAAATTATCTGAGCTCAATTTGTTAGACCACTCGAGATTGAGACCGACCTGGGACTCCTATTTCATGCGTCTTGCTGACTTGGCAGCACTTCGGTCTAACTGTATGAAAAGAAGAGTAGGGTGTGTCATTGTGCGCCAAAATAGAGTCATTGCAACTGGATACAATGGAACGCCGCGTCATTTGTTGAATTGCAATGAAGGCGGATGCTCCAGGTGCAATAATGGTCATGGAAGCGGCGCTTCCTTGTCTACATGTCTTTGTTTGCACGCTGAAGAAAACGCGTTGTTAGAAGCCGGCAGAGATCGAATAAGAGATGAAAGTGTTTTGTACTGCAATACTTGCCCTTGTCTTACATGTTCCATCAAGATTGTTCAAAGTGGTATTAGAGAAGTTGTTTATGCCCAAAGCTACTCTATGGATGAGCAAAGTCATAAAGTAATGAGTGAGGCAAACATTATCTTACGACAGTTTCAGCCTCCAGTAGATGGCATATTCATATAAAGAGAGAAAACAATAAAATAGAACAAAACAAAAAAAATAGAGCACAAGTATAATTACTAAAGTATTTATGTCTCTCTATACTCGTAGTATCCTGGTTTGGTCTCTGCTTTGCATTTGATAGTTTCAAGAACTTTACCATCAACACTTAAAGTTGCTTCAATTTCATCTCCAGCTACAATTGGGCCTACTCCCTTTGGTGTTCCAGTTAATATCAAATCTCCCTTTTCTAAAGTCATTATATTCGACATGGTACTTAATATCTTGTGTATAGGGAATATCATCAAATTGGTTTTCTCATGTTGTTTAATCTCGCCATTGACTTTCAACTCCAACTCGACATTGTATGGATCAGGGATTTTTTCCTTTGGAATGAAACTAGATACTGGCAAAAAGGTATCGAATCCTTTACCAATAGACCATGGCAATCCCTTTTTTTTAGCTTCATTTTGAACATTCCTTGCTGTCATGTCTATCGTTAAAGCATACCCTTCAATGCTTTCCAATGCCTCTTGTGGTGAAAAATCTGGAGACAAGTTTTGCAAATCTCTATTCAATGTAAAGGCTAACTCGACTTCATGATGTACTGTGACACCCTTGGGAACCAAAAATGGACCTGAATTTGGTTTCAATACCGATGAAGAAGGCTTCAAAAAGAAGAAAGGTTGTTGAGGTCTCATACTATTCAACTCCTTAATGTGCTCAATATAATTACGTCCTATGCAAAGAATCTTTCTTGCATCGTTAATATATTTCAATGACATTTTACCTTGTTTCAAAAAGAAGAAATGAATAAATACAAAGCCAAATGAATAAAAACAAAGCCAAATGAACAAAAATAAAGCCAAATGAACAAAAATAAAGCCAAATGAATAAAAACAAAGCCAAATGAACAAAAATAAAGCCAAATGAACTAGAGAAATACTAACCAAATGAACTAGAGAAATACTAACCAAAAAAACTAGAGTAATATACTAACCAAAAAAGCTGTTATATCAAAAGAACTTTCTCCTTTGTTTGGTCTGGAATGAAAAAGAAATGGTTATGCCCTTTTTAAGTCAAGTTTTCCGATATCGTTTCGAGAGACAAGAGATTGATTTGTGGAGTAAAAGAAGAAAAAAAAAAAAAAAATTCAATGCCTTCGATAGCCGCTGGCGCCCCACTATGAAAAATTTACGGAAAAAGGTAAAAAAGAGGCGGAAGTAGTTGAAAATTGAAAAATTTTCTTCTTTGGCTCTTCTTAAAAATCAATAACTTTGGCTTTGAGACCAGAGTGGTTTTGTTCTCTTGTGACCCAACGCATCATTTGGACCCGTCAACTTTGAGCCGCCACCATTTGAGCATTTGGGGTATTAATATTGTCCCTTTTTTAAAGATTTATCATGGCGTTGAAAAGTGAAGAAAAAAAAATTAATGAAAAGGTGAAAAATTTAATGATAAGCTTTGAAGTAACTTAATAGCTAGGGTCTATACATATACAATGCTTCGTAGTGTTTTACGAGCGAGGCTGTTACGATATTGGTCACTACGCTATAACCATACCCAACCATTGCCGCCATACTACCCCAAACAAATTTCTCAAACTTGTATCACGGCATCACCACAACCCACAAATGACCTCGTCCCATCGGATGGTTATTTTCAACCGCATCCAAACCCCAATGATCATATCGTGGTGGCAATGTCGTCTGGAGTAGACTCATCTGTATGCGCGGCACTATATCTGAAATATTCTCATGTTCACGGAATCTATATGGCAAATTGGTCTCAGAGTTCTCAATGTACTGAACGAGATTGGAAAGATGTGCAGACCGTATGCTCAGCGCTCGGGATACCTTGTGAGCGATTAAACTTTGAGCGAGAGTATTGGAATGATGTGTTTCAGCCCATGTTGGAGAAATACTCTCTGGGACTAACACCTAATCCCGATGTTGGATGTAATAAATTTGTCAAGTTTGGCAAATTAGTTGATGTGCTTGAACAGCGATATAAGGGTAAAAAATGGTGGCTTGTCACTGGTCATTATGCTAGAGTGATGAAAAAGAGGGATGATGAATATCATTTGTTGAGGGGATTGAGCACACGCAAGGATCAAAGTTATTATCTCTCACTGATACCGAGTTCAGTATTGCCAAGATTGATTTTGCCTATGGGCCATATGCTCAAGGAAGACACGCGTGGGTTGGCAAAACAGTATCACTTACATGTTAGCACAAAGCCTGATTCTCAAGGACTATGTTTTGTTGATCCGCAACATGGCAATTTTAGAGATTTCTTGCTGGAGTATATTGAGTGTACCCCAGGTGAGGTTGTCACGGAGGACGGCAAAGTATGGGGTTTTCATAAAGGATTATGGCATGCTACGATTGGGCAAAAACTGAGTATACTGATGCCGCAGGGTGATCCCCAGTATAAGGGAGTTTGGTTTGTAGCGGAAAAGAATATTGAAAAAAACCAATTGGTCATTGTTAGGGGCCACGATCATCCCAAGTTGTACAAGTCCAAAGTTGAAGTTGTTGATTGTGAATGGGTGTATGATTGGGAGAAAGTCAAAGAAATCAATTTGGAAGAACTTCAATTTCAATACCATTCATTGACCAAAGCTACACCAATAAAGAAACTTAGTGTTATTCAAGAAAATGGACAGAAATTAAAAATTGAGTTGATGAAACCAGTCAGGGCTATGGCTCCCGGACAGCAAGGTGTGCTATACAGAGGACACCAGGTTCTAGGTGGCGGGATGATTTCAAAAACCGAGGAATAAAAGTAAGGTTAAAGTTACTCTCATAAGAAAAGAAGCAAGAGCTGTGAGAACTGTAAATAGGAAATTGTATAAGTAAGCAAGAAAAAGCAGTAGGAGAAAACAAAAGGGAAACAAAAGGGCAAAACTTTTTGAAAAGAAATGTTTCAATGTTTCCAGGGTATTTATAGAATTAGTAGCATACTTGTGGGTGAAAAACTTCATCTGCACTGCCATATCCATTTGAGATTGGCAAGACCGTAATTCAAGTATAAAATGTTCCTAGTGTTATTTATTTATTATACAAGTAAAAATAAAATTAAGTTTAATAACCAGAAAAGAAAGTAAAAATTATCAACTCTTTAACCAAAAGCAGAAAACCAAATAAAATATATAAATCACTCCAAGAAAGGAAAAAAAGGTAAAAACACAAATTTAGTCACACAAGGTAAATTGTTTTTCAAAAACAAATACACCAACATCAAAATATTACATCAACATCTGAGAACACGTTAGTTTTTCTCACCATACTTCAAAACGCTGTAATGAAGGATACAATCTCTTCTCACCCAATCCATTGACTTGCCTTTTTTGATTCTCTTCCTGTTCTTTGATCTGTAATCGGATAAAAGCAACAACCTGATGAATTAATTCACGATGTCTTGCAACATCTTTAAGATTATAACCATCAATAACTACCTCTTCGGCTTCTTCTTCTTCTTTTTCATTGTCATCTTCTTTTCTCTCAGTACTCAAGTTTAGTTTATTGAACAAAGATTCAAATTCCGCTTCTTCCTCTTCCTCTTCAGAAGATTCCGTGTACTCAAACTCTGATTCTAACTCTGACTTTGTCTCTGATTCTGAGTCTATTTCAGACTCGGTTTCAGATGCAGAGTGTTTATGGAGTTTTTGAGCTGTTTTCTGATAAACTGAAACTCCATTAAACTCCATACTTCCAGCATTAGCACCGCCTTGTTGGCTACAGTAGGACTGTGAATGTACACTATAACTCATAGGTCTATTGATTTGCGGGAATGTTGACGTGGACGTGTTATAATTTACCAAAGATGTACCATTGGATATACCCATTGTATCCTTATTTGATAGCGTTGGTAAAGATGGATATAACGAAGCTGGTGACTGTTGTGGTGCTGCTTGCTGCTGTTGCTGTTGTAGTTGTATCGATTGATGAGGTTGTTGATTTTGCTGTTGCTGTTGTTGTTGTTGTTGTTGTTGTTGTTGCTGCTGCTGCTGGTGGTGATATTGCGAGGATAAGTTTTGATATTGCATATCGATTGAACTGGATAAGGAATTGAAGAATTTTTCAGCTTCGTAGATGTTTCCGTTATTTGCACTACCGTTGCTTGTATAGGTTGGATGATAATGATGTTGAGCAGGTTGTGATTGTTGCTGCTGCTGCTGTTGTTGTTGTTGTTGCTGCTGCTGCTGCTGCTGAGTTTGTACTTGTGTTTGTGGGGCATGAGCAGGGTGTGCGTGTGTATGTTGTGTGCGAAACTGTTCATCCAAATGATTCAACCTGTTGAAAATATCCATATTGTAGTCAGAGTATGGTTTCATTCTTTTGTATTGTTCTTGAGGTGCTGCTGATTGATGTTGCTGTTGTGGTTGCAGTGTATATGCTCCTCCGTTAGGGTGAGTCATTTGCTGGAAATTGAAATCGTTCAAAATGCTGTTGACAACATACATATTGTGTTGTGAATTATCAAATCTTCTTTTCCTGCTGAATTCATCATCGACTCCCAAAGCAGTAGTCGGGTTGTAAACCAAATCAGCTCCACCCATCAATTTACCCAATTTTTGTCTTTGTTTGGCTTCCTTCTGTTGTTGCTTCAATAATAACCTTTGTGCCTTTTTCAACTTCTTTGGATGATCATCTGCATGTATTTTGGAATGCTTTTTCAAATCCTGTGGTCTCTTGAAAGACTTGGGGCACAAATCACAATGGAATGGCTTCAAAGGTACATGGACTCGTAGATGAGAGGTGATATGATCTCTCTTTACCGTTGTGGTACCGCATTTTTCCCAATAACAAGTTAAACTCAAATTATTTGAAGATTTCCTTCCAACATGATCGTCACACAAATGGTCATATAGTAACTCGGGTGTATCAAAAATTATATTACACTCACCCCATAAACATTTGAATGGACCTCTGAGATCTTCTTCTCTAATCTTTTTGTACACCTTTTTAGGCGGTTTGGCAATTGGTACTGCTGTTGCGGCAGTTGCTGTTGTATACGAATTAAACGTTGAATTTGGTTTAGCTTCGTTGTTATTCATTTGAGGCATACCGCTTACTAAAGTTTGATGAAAGTGATCATTAGTAATCTCATTGTAGTTGGGCTGATGATGGTGAAGTAATTGTTGCTGAGGTGCGGGCTGCTGTTGCAACTGAGCTGGCTCTTGAAACGGTTGTCTTTGCGGTTGAGATTGAATTTGCTGCTGTTGTTGTTGTTGTTGGTGGTAATAAGAATGATTATTATAGGTGTGGTTTAAACTTGGGTGCAATTGGGTTGGTGGCTGAACTTGAACTTGTTGGTGTTGTACCTGTGGAATGGTGGAACCTGAAGCCAATGTATCCATGAATGGGGAGGTTGACATAGTGTTATTCAAGGTAGAAGCATGTTGCTGGGTAAGCTGTGACGTCAGCTGCTGGAGAGGAGGAGGAGGAGCCTGTTGTTGAGGCTGTTGTTGTTGTTGTTGTTGTTGAACTTGCTGTTCTTGGTCTGTTGAGCTCCTGGATGGCAATGAAGAAGTCGAAATAGTTGGAATTGTTGATGGCTGTCCATTACTTATCGACAAATTACTTGGTTTTGCTTTAGATTGCTCGATTGGCGAGTTGGCCAACGAATGCGAGGTAAACGAAGAATGAGGGCTTCCGTGAGCATTATTTGTGCGTGGTGTGTGTGACGATGTTACTGAAGAAGGCGATGTGACATTATCCAACTCCAAATCAGCAGAGGGGGATTTGTTACTAATGGAGGCTCTTTGAGTCTGCTGCTGTTGTTGCTGCTGTTGCTGCTGTTGCTGCTGCTGCTGCTGTTGTTGTTGTTGTTGTTGTTGTTGCTGCTGTTGCTGCTGTTGTTGGTGTTGTTGTTGCAACAACTGGGCTGGTTGTTGAAACTGTTGCCTCTGTTGTGATTGATTAGTGGTGCTACCATTACTACTACTGTAGTTATCAGCATTCAAATAAGATACTGGATGGATATTATAGTTCAATGTCATTCTCTACTTGTGTGTGGGGGGGGGGCAAAAAGTGTGTGCTTGTTTCTAGTTGTATCTAGTTCTACTCTAAGTGACTCTGCTAACTGGCTCTGTCTACTTCCACGTGTCCTAATTCTATTGGTCAAAATTGCTCTATTCTGCCCTATTCTACTAGAGTGGCAAATTATTACTGTGCTGCCTTTACTAAGCTGTTTTTTTTGGGGGGCTGCCTTAACTAAGCTGTTTTTCTGAGCTGCCTTAACTAAGCTGCTTTTATTAGGCTGTCTATACTGTGCTGCTTTTTTGTTGAGCTGTTTCTACTGTGCTGCTTTTTTATTAGGCTGTTTTTTGCTGCACTTTTTTTAAGGGAATTGTTATTTGTACTTATAAGCACCACGGGGGCAATAGGTCACACCAGACAATCTAAAAAAGAAAGAAAAAAAACAACTCAGGTCGACCTAACGGACTACTGGCCCTAAAAAAAAAAAAAAAGAAGGTATTCTTAGTGAATGGAATTTTATTTGTAGCAGTGGGGTGTTTTAAATGCCAAGAATAAATAATTACAAACTCTGTATGGCTAAAACAATCATTGAGAAAGAGAAAAAACAAAGTCGTGTATTTGGCAACTGAAATGACTGAATGGACATTTTTGAATTGGGGGGTAGTGCAAAGAGGCTCAAATTATTTATCAGATACGAAAATGATAAATATGATAGCCTTACAAGTTTTTAAAGATAGGAGAAAGTTTGCAACTGAAGAGGTATTGATTCTGGCAGTTGCTAATAGGAATAGAGAAATAATGGGAATAAAGAACTAAAGAACTAGTGGGAATAAAGAGAACTAGTGGGAATAAAGAACTAAAGAACTAGTGGGAATAATGAGCAGGAAATTTGTAATGAGCAGGAAATTTGTAATGAGCAGGAAAATTTGTAGATGTTGATTCTTTTTTTTTTTTTTCTTTTTCTTTTTTTTCTATTCTTCGCCGTATATTCTTACTGTTATCGGTCTCGGGTCTCGGGTCTCTGTTGAGTATAAAAAATAAAATTATACTTGGTTGCCAATTCGGAAAACTGGTGCGAGTGGCTAATCTGACTTTCTAAAACCTTTACTAATTTGTCATTACCTCATTTAACAAGTTGGTAATGTGTCATTACCTCAAACAACAAGTCAGTAACTTATCATTACCTCATATTACAAGTAAGTAACTTATCATTACCTCATATAACAAGTCAGTAACTTATATAACAAGTTAGTAATTTGTCATTACCTCATATGACAAGTTAATATAATATGGCTCTTTAGTAAGTTATAGCTCTTTAGTATAATATTGCTCTTTAGTAATTTGTCATTACCTCATCTATAATCTATTATACGATTCATTTTCTTCTTTTTATCATTTCCATTATTATATACATGGAGTAACTATATAATATGTGGTAGCGGTCTGTACAATTGGACCGGTTTATTTGTTTTTTTTGATATTAATCTGCAATTTTTTTTTCTTAGCGCCAAGGATAAAGAAACTTTCTAGTAGTATAAAAGAAAGCTTTTGAAATAGGCGTGTCGTGCTGGGTCGTTTTGAGACATTGTAATTATAAAGTTAAAGGACTTCTCCTACATGCACTATTTTTGGTTTGACAATTGTAGCAAAGTAAATTGGCAGAATGGGCTTTTTGACGCGCAAAACTTGTCACGTGACTATCATTAATAATCACTTTTAGCAAATAAAAGGAGGTTTAAGTGTAATGCAGAGTTAAAATAAATACCATAATATGAAAGATTGATTAACGCAAAAAAAAATCTGGTTTTTTTTTTCTTTTTTTTTTATTTATTTATTTATTTATTTATTTTCCTCCTATAATCTTGAATGTAAGCTTTTCTACCGGGTATATATCGTTTAGCAGCAAGTACATGTGTGGCAAAGCCACTTAGCCTTCCAAGAATGTGTCACGTGACCATCATTACATGGGGATAAAAAACATTTTTGGCTGCAAAAGAATATTGAGGTATGATATGCTTTAGTTGTTTACTAATCGGTCTCTCTGGGCTAGTAATCCCCCGTTGCGTTAGAAAGCGTTATACACTAATTTCTACTATGTACTTATATACTTTCTATACTTGGCGCTAACGTTTTGTTGTTGTTGTTGCTGTTGTTGTTTCCATCAAACTGTTGCTATACAGAATGTCAACAAAATAGTTATAAACAAAGCATTAAAAACAGCTTTACCGAATTCGTTTCTGGCAGCATGCGATCTCAATTTTGTGCCACTACCGCCATCATTTTTATCATCATCATCATCATCATCATCATCATCATCAAGAGTTCTTTCCATTCCATTTTTCTCTAATAAGCTGGCAATTGTGAAATTACCATTGCCGCCAATAGAATTTGCCAATACCATCACATTATCACTATTCAACGTTGCATTATCATAAGCAAAAATCAAAAATTTCTTCTTTTTACCATCGTCGTCATCTGAATCTGAATCTGAACAATCATCTAAACCCTTCTTAATTGCTTTTTCAAAAAAAACACCAGCATTAACTTGCCAACCGTTTTTCTCTTTTGCCTTTGTTATATAATTTTTTGTTCCTTGAGCTTTTATAAGCTCGGGCTCTATTGATAGCGATTCTTGCGAAGGATTCTTTTTGACTGACTTATAGTCGATTGAACCTTTCAGAGACTCAATCGTTTTTGACTTGCGGATTACTTTCTGGTGTTGAAGATTGTGTAGCTCTTTTTGCTGTTGAAGGTTTTGTTTCTCTCTCTTGATTTGGTTGTGAGACTGTTGGTAAAAGTTTGAGGTTGTGTTTTGTTGATGAAAGTTTAAGGTTGTGTTTTGTTGGTGGTTTGTTCCTTCTGCTGTTGTTGTAGCGGCGGTGGTGGTTATTAGTACTGTTAACATTAGAAGTTGACTTAGTCTCATTTTTGCGGAACCAAAGTTATCTTTACAGTCTTGTAGTATTTGTAAAAAATTGATATTGGAAAGGGGGTTTTTTTATTATTCATTAAGAAATACATTTTGCAGCAAAATGAAGAGAAAAGAATTGCTGCAAAAAATATTTATTAAACTGTAACAAATATTCAAGGATTTGCCTAGAATTAGAGGTCAATAGAAGCCAGTAGAATACAGCGGTAATAGTACTTATAGACCAACAGCTTAGGTCGGAGGCTCTATCAATAAAGCATATATATCATCTTCTTTCGTTTCTAATTCAAACCTATTTTTTCTTTGCAATATACTATTTTAGTACAAATGGTTGCCCCCATCTTTATCAATCAAATCACGTGACTATTATTTCCCAATTTTTTTTTTTTTTTTTTTTTTGTTTCCAATTTTTCCTTTCATGCGACAGATTCTAGTAAGAGCAAATATATGAACACCATTTTTTTATAGGTTACAATTATACCTGATTTTATTTAATATTACAAACACCGCAAAGCACTATGTCGAACCAAGCGTCACAAACACAAGTTTTGCGTCCAAAGGTGCTACGTCTACGTCCCACCGAGGGTTCGTCAAGTGAAGAACAAGAACGGCAGCAAGAGCAACAGCAACAAGAGCAAGGTACTCAATCAATAATAGAAACAGGTACAGCAAAGAAGAAATCGAAATCGAAATCGAAACAGGGGGTAAGATGGAGTGAAAATGTTATTGATAATGAGCATATGAATAAGAAGAAGACAAAAATATGTTGTATTTTTCACCCGCAAAGGTCCTTTGATGAGGAGTGTCAAGATGATTATGACCGACATAGTTGTTCCAGTTCAGATGAGAGTAGTGATTCTAGTGATGAAGAGGGAGATCTGCTGCTGCTGCTGCTGCGGAAGCAGAAAAAGAGTGTTTGCGAGAATAAGGGAAATATGTATGAATACCAGCCTCGGTATGACAACAAGTCAAAGTTACCAAAAGATTCCTAACCACGAGTTAGTCAGGAGGGAGGAGGGAGAAGGGAGGAGGTGAAAGGAGGAGGTGAAAGGAGGAGGTGAAAGGAGGAGGTGAAAGGAGGAGGGAAGAGGGAGGAGGGAAGAGGGAGGAGGGAGGAGGGAGGAGGGAGGAGGTAGGAGGTAGGATTACTAGTTATAAAAAACGAAAGTAGTGGCATGCCTGTTTTTGTTTTTTTTCAGTTCATGTGCTACAGTAACTATTGCAAAGCAAGCTAATTAATGAATTGGTCACAGTTTTGAGGGCTAGTCTTAAATGGTACGACACCATCGGGCGAAGCGAGATAGTGGAGCATACTGACTAGTGACACTACGACACCATCATGATTGAAATGAGGTAGGGCTTTATGAAGGTCAAGTAAAAGAAGTGTCTAGAAAGAGAGAGAGAGAGAGAGAGAGATCCACCGCTTACTCTCTACTCATTACACTCTGCTCACCGCATTCTACACTCGGGAAAATTGACTGTTGGTGGCAGCTAGTGTGCTCCACTATCTCGCTCTGCTCGATAGTGTTAAGAGTTAGTATGCTCCACTATCTCGCTCTGCTCGATAGTGTCGATAGTGTCGATAGTGTCGATAGTGTCCATATTGTCAGTAGCCATTCACTATAATATTAGAGACTTTTGTAGATAAAATAAAGTCAAGTACTTTACAAAAATAATCTTTACTTATCTTATATTAGCTAGATAATAAATGAATGGATGCAAAAAAAATATAATTAAATTAACTTAAATTAAACGGATAACGATACTAGAATTGAACAAAAAACAATGAAAGGTTGTGAATGAATGGCTTTGTATGAACAAGTTGTATATGTCTATTTAGCCGGAAAAAAAAATGAATTCATTATCCCAGGTCTTATCCAAAAACGTCTGGATTGGTGATTTTCAATTTCCGCGAGTAATCGTAATCATCACCTAATGATCTAATTGAACTGTTAGTACGAGGTAAAAACATTGTGTCTGGATCTAATCTGTTATCCAATTCATCAATTGGAAACATCACTCCTTGATCTAGTCCATCTTGATGATTTGGAGAATGGCCGTTACTGCTTGTATCTTTAAAGCTATTTCTTCGACTCATCAATTTTTTCCTTGAAGAATTACGATTTATTCCAGCTCCGCCAGTGGTACCCGTTGGGCCCGTGTGCTTGTTATTAGCATATGGATAATAGTGGTTGTAATGGTGTTGATGAGGATGATGATGATTTTCTTTGCTTCCACGTGTGATATAACTAACCAATGATTTATTTGAGTTATCACTTTTTAGTATACTAAATGAGGAATGTTTGCTCAATTCCACAGTTGGTGGTCTTACTATTGTTTTCTCCTCATGATCCAAAGAAAGTTCGTCTGAGCTATATTGATAATCATTTTCACTATCATCCGATTTCCGCCTTGCTGCTCCACCAAGGCAGCAACAGCAATAGAGTATTGCTGAAACAATCCCAAACACAACTACTCCTACTGCGGTAAACGTACCTGCTACTTTTCCAGTAGAGGAGAAAAATGTATTTTTATTATTGGGACTGCTACCGTTATCATCAGAGTGTTCGTTCAAGGCTCCTGGTGTTTCTGATGCTTCAGCTGAGATGAGTGAAGATGAAGATTGTATGCTTTCTCCTATTGGATTGGAGGATGCTGAATCTAGTAGTGTTTCAGATGAGGAAATAAAACCTGATAATGAAGAAACAGGTAAAGAAGGAGACGATGGTGATGATGATGAGGAGGAGGAAATGGAGGAGGCGGGAGCGGTGTTGGAGGAGGAAAAGGAGTTTGTGGTCAAGCTTGGGTATTGAGTTATATACATTGTTCTTACTTGTTGAGTTTGAGTTCCATTTATTGTCATTATAGAATAGACTGTTGATGGTTCAATATGTGTTGAAACAAGAATTATTGTGGATGCTGAAGTAGGCGAGGAAGATGAGGTGGAACGGGTTGAAGTCGATGCAGTGACTGTCAAGTATCGAGTTACCTTTATCACATCTTTGGACAGATGCAATTCTATTACTTGTGTGGTTTGAGTTACTAGAGTTGTCGGTGGAAGTGAAGTGGTTGTTGAATCTGTTGTTGGTTTAGTTGCCAACGCTGTTCCTTTCTCAGTTGTTGATGTCGTTTCATCTTCAGATGTTTCTTCTGTGTCACTATCACTATCGCTGCTACTGCTGCTACTACTACTGCCACTGCCCCTATTAGTAGTAGCAGTTTCACCAATAGTCGCACTTGGAGTACCAATTACCAAGTATCCATAATAACCATTCCCTGCACAACTTTCTTGATCTTTATAACCAGGGCATCCAACTTCACAATTTGACATATCAACTGTGTCTCCGGGAACTTCATTGGAGCAAAAACAATCAAAATGTGATAATATGGCAACAGCATATCCTGAATTTCCACATTTATTCTTACACAATCCGTTTGACATGAACTCGTCTGATATTTGACTGTTTGCTGCCAAATTCTGCTTTGAACAGTAGGATAAAGTTAAACATTGGGCCGCTTTCAAAGTGAAACTCAATATTAGCAATATCTTATGTAGCAATACTGGTACATTCATCTGAATATGTGCTGGATTTTTCAGCTGCTATCAATTCATAAAAACAGGCAGTCAATGAAGAATCAATGAACAATCAATGAACAATCAGTCAAGCTTAGACGCTGAGATGTCAAAAAAAAGTAAGCCAGCTTCTCACGTATGAATTCAACAGGGGGGAGGGGGGTTCGGAATCCTATGACAATTAGCCGCCGCTCTGTTGTACTCTGAAAACTGCCAGCTACCAACTACCAACTACCAACTACTGGTTTCTTCAACTGACTTTATTTGATTCTGTCGATACAAAAAAAAAATCCGATCAAGTATTACCCAATTTTTTGAAATTTTCACCCTTTTGCTATAGCGTAAAAAGCAATTGGGTAAAAGAGGAACTGAAACGAAGCGACTGGTAATATACAAATAGTCTTTGTTCAGACTAAAAAACAAAAGCTCTTAGAGAAAGAACGAGGCTATTGTCCTGTGGGCAATAGGACTTTATGGTATCAAGGTCAAAGACGAATGAAAACAAACAGAAAAATATACAGAGTAAGAGGATCTTCAATGCAATATATATATACAATAGGAAAAATGTCAAAATAAGGAGGTTTTAATTTTATTCTATTTTATTTTATTTTATTTTTTTCCTAATTAGAAGGAAATTTATTTAATTGTATTGATTAAAGAAAGAGTAAAACAAGAAAATCAAGTAAGAATAGCGGGAATTTTGTAAATTGCTAGTGGTGATATCACTCCATTTAAGACGGGAATTTATACGTTTGATAATACTGGTTTGTTTGCTTTATATATTGTTCTTCTCCTTTCATATGCCAGTATTTTGAAATACTCATTTCTTGTACTGAAATTTGTAGTTGATTCTCTCCTCCCCCCCCTTTGTTGTGATGTAATTTGATAAGTTGCATATCTCGATGTTTGCCGTTATCCTTTAATCTTTCTTTTTTTTTCCAAGATAAGCATGTTGGAGTGCTATTCCCTCTATTTCAGTTTTAGAATGGTGGCGGTACTTTTTTAAAAGTAACATTAAGAGTAACATTAAGAGTAACATTAAGAGTAACATTAAGAGTGGCACTTTAGGAATGGCACTTTAGGAATAGCACTTTAGGAATGGCACTTTAGGAATAGCATTTTAGGGAATAGCTCATGGCTTAATCCAATTTTGAAAGTAATTTTCTTTATAGAAAAAAATTACTTGGATTGCCAATTTGAAAAAGTAATAGCACACAAATATAGATTTTGTAACCAAACCTCGTGGTGTTTACTCTACTTGTACTAAAATACCTTTGTAAAAAGATTTATCCGTTCCTTCCCCACTTGTCTCCCTTCTCTTGAGTCATTTATCAAACAATAGTTGTTTGCCTCGAGAATTAGTTTACAAAATCAGCTTTTTGGCTGGAGTTCCTGAGTTTTACCTTAATTTCTTTGGGCAAGATTGTAATTTCACAATTTGCACAAATTAGATGTAAATAGTTTCAGTTTGCATAAATTAGATGTAAATAGTTTCAGTCTGTTTCCCATATGTATAAAATATTATACACAAAATACACTTGTTTCCTCATTTTTACTCAGAGAAGAGAGAAGGAAAGGAAAGGAAAGAAAAGGAAAGGAAAGGAAAGGAAAAAAATTGACTCTTCAAGGTTAGGGCTGATCTTCACAATGTGGCTTTAGTTATTATTGTTATTTTTTGTTTTTATTTATATTTCTTTATCTTCCTTCAAAATCTGCAAGTTAGTCTAGGTAAACTTGTTGCTAGATTGGGCAAATGGTGGTAGGTGATATAGCAGAGTTGTCAGTGAAAATGACGTTACACTTGGGATCAATCGGATCTACAAGAGTATTATTCTGTGTCATGTAAAAAAGAAGTTTGAACAATGCACATTAACTCACTTCTCTATCTTTTCTATTTACCATCTCTGCTCATAACCGCACTATCTTAGAACAAAGAAAAGAACTTTGTTCGGATTTGTGGAGATGTGAATGCGTTGAAATAATACCTGAATAGCTAAAACAACAATGTTGGAACCTCCTTAATTGCTGCCGCGCTTTATTTTTTGACAAAAGAAACCTGGGAAAGAAGGAAAGAGATGAAGAGATTTTAACTCTCTTATGGATCTAACGGAGAACTCTTGACCTATTTCTCTGTTACCACTGATACTGAGGAAAAAAAAAACGTTTTGTCGCTACCTATTGAAGACTAGACTTGTCGGCTACAAATAAATATAGTTTCCATCGGTATTAAAATTAAACATACAACACTCAGCACTGCTAGTGCTGCTGAGGAGTACTGCTAACAATTGTTAACTGCGTGTTTTGCAAATTTTCTTACTTAATTTTGAAACTCTTCCTTTTAGTTTGTCTTATCGATGATAAAATTGAGATTCCAAGTCAGCGGCAACTGAAGCAAAACAGATGTATGGATCTCAAATCAAAACAACCCTATTTTGGTTCAACAACAAAGACTTTCCGTTCAAAAGTTGGGCAAGTATTGCCTAATGGTAACATTGTTTATCGGTGAAGCTTGCGCGACTAAAAATCTCTTTTGGGCCTTGTTCTATATCTTCCAACCAATAACTGCTCACTTTTATTTTTATATTGGTGCCGGTGGCAGCTAGTGTGCTCTATTATCTCGCTCTGCTCGATAGTGTCGGCTCTTTCTCAATAGAACAATTCATTTGTCTCCTTTATCAACCCTCGTTCAAGCATCACTTTTCTCAAATATGCGCCATCGCTCATGCTTAATCTTTCAATTTGATTCTTTTGCCTCGTTTTGCGAGCTCGGGTTCTTATCTTGTCCGCAGCCAACTCCAACTCTTGTTTAGGTAAATATTTAGTTTGTTCTTCAATAAACCCATCCCATTTGTTATTGGATTTCTTCAACTTCTCCCATTGGACGATCTCGTTATCCAGCAACAATGTCCATGGTTCTCGTATTTCAATCACTTTTTTCGAATTAATGACATCTATCAAAGCTTGAAAATTGAATAGTCTGGATTTGACTATATTTGAAATCATTTTGTAATTTTCAGGAATCGTTTTGGCACTGCTATCATATTGATAATATTCAACGGGAAGCCCGATACTTTGAGTTGCGTCGTGGACAAGTCCCCGTATAAGAAAATTCACCAAAGGTATATTGCGCAAGTCCCTAAAATCATCAATGAGTTGCCGGATTATGACTTTGTAAATGTTAATTAGCTGCGGGCAGTGCGTCTCTGTGAACTTGCAATACTTCTCAAACATCAATTTCGACTTAAAAGTCAATGACTTGTTTTTAGCCAATCCATACAACAATGAAAGCAACGAATAGTCATCATTATTGCCAATCTCTGGAATATAACCATGACGACATCTATGTTCCACTATCTTGTGAACTACTTTGTTATCGCACCTCCAATTCTTGAAATTTAAGTCATTTTCAATAAAGTGTATCACCTTTTCAGTATCGTTTGTAGTCTCCATATAATCATCGAGTACCCTCATCACTAAACCCCTAGTCATGGGTATTTGTTCGCCTTGTAATACTTTCAAAAAATATTCCTTTAATTGTGGGCTCCTAATAGTATCGTATACCCTCGTCCACGTGTCCAATGTCACGTCTATCCCCAAGGTGTCACTCAATTTTAGATATTTCAAAACAACTGAGAATGTACTTGAAATCGACCTTATGTGTGAATGGGTTTTGCACATTCTTAACAAATTGTCAATTGTTTCTTGGTTTGCATGATGACCGTCTTTTCTCATTACCAAAAGAATCTCTCTAGCCAACAAATTTTGGTTTTTATCAATACCAAAATATTTGATCAAATGGTTGAATGTGGTAGTTGACCTGTACGGTGCAAACTTTTCATTTGCCAAGTTGTGAGTGTATAACAAGATTAATGGGATAATCCCCGACTTCAAACTCGAGGACAATAAAAAATGATGCCTTATATGAGTCAAGTTGTAAATATATTCTTCAAAGTTCTTTTTTGTTATTGGATCGGGAAATTGTGTAATTTCATGGAAATTGTCTACTCTTAGTCGTTGCTTAAACACCTGTTTCTCCATGATGTGGTTTAAGCGAACTTCGTTATTCACCTGTTTCAAATTGGACGGCGTTAAATCAACCAAGTATTTAATTAGTTTTTTGAATATTTGTGTTTCTTCATATACAATCAGCTGAGATTGGAAATTTTTCTGAAAATTCTTCACTTGCCAGTTTTTAGAAGCCGTTTCGCAATCATAGGTTTCCCGCTTACCCAAGGTTTTCAAATCTGCAATATTCAAAGGTCCAAGAAACTCTTGTAACCGTTGACGGTCCAATAGTCGAAGCGTAGACTTGAATTTCTCCAACTCCTCATCTGTAAACCGATTTTGGCGCTTAATGTATACTGGTTTCAAACAAGGTTTTGTCTTCTCTAGGTCTTTTTTGACTCCAGATTTATTTTGTATCAATGGTTCTACCAACTTAACCGATCTTTTAACTATGGAGATCGTACTATTGGCAGAGTTCATATCATTATCATATTTCGCAACTATTAACCTTCATATAATTAAATCAAACTTTTGCGATGAGCTTTGGAAAGAAAAAAAAAAAAAAAAGATTAAAAGAAGAAAGAAGTTTCAATCTAATCGAACTTATCTTCATTTCTATCAGCAATGGCATCCCCACAGAGAGAAGGGTTCAGTATCCCATCATCGATATCACATGCTGCTTTGGGTCAAGTTACTAATAAATCCCTTGGTGTCAAGTATAACTGTGCTCAATGTGCGGCCTCTTTTTCATTAAGTAAAAATGATGCTATTAGGTGTAAAGAATGTGGTCATCGTGTCATCTACAAGGCTAGAACTAGAAGGATGGTACAGTTTGAAGCAAGATAAAACACTATTGAGCGAAGCAAGATAAGACACTATTGAGCGAAGCGAGATAGTGGAGCAATACCCGCTGACACCGTTCTGGGACAGAGGGGGGGGAGGGGGGGGGGGTCTAAGCGCGAATGGCGGCTTCCCCTTGGAAATAAATAAATTTGTATTTTGATATAGAGTATTTTTATACAATATTTATATGCATCTAGTCAATGTGCTCCACTATCGAGCAGAGTGAGATCGTGGGCAGCTAGTCAGTGTTGCTCCACTATCGAGCAGAGCGAGATAGTGTCGGTAGTGTCGATAGTGTCGGTAGTGTCGATAGTGTCGATAGTGTCGATAGTGTCGATAGTGTCGGT